GGCGGCGTGCATTGGGCGGGAGAGAGGAAGCATAACCTCGGGCCCGATAGATGGCCGGGAGCCAACAGAGGCCCGGGAGCCGACAGAGGCCCGGGAGCCGACAGAGGCCTGGAAGCCGGCAGAGGTCCGGGAGCCGACAGAGGCCCGGGAGCCGACAGAGGCCTGGAAGCCGACGGAGGCACGGGAGCTGACGGAGTCTCGGGGACGGCAAGGGCACGGAAGGGGACAGAGGCTTGGGAGGCGACAGGGACTTGGGAGGCGACAGAGACTCAGGAGGTGACAGGGGCTTGGGAGGTGACAGAGGCTCTGGAGGTGACGGAGGCTGGGGAGGCGTCAGAGGCTCGGGAGGAGACGGAGGCTTGGGGGACTACAGAGGCCTGGGAGGCGACAGAGGCTCGGGAGGTGACAGGGGCTTACAGATAACTGGGAGCTGATAGAGACTCAGATGTCGACAGAGGCTCGGGGGCCACGGGTGGTCAGAGAGCCGGAACCATCCTGGAGCCATCATCACCCCAGAACCAACGGAGGCATTCCAGAGGCCACGGGGGCTCAGGATGCGCAGCCCTTTGTGTGGACTTCGCTCTTAATGGCGCAGCCCAGTCCGCTTATGGATGCCGCCTGCCGGCTCTTCGGTGAGATATCGCCTCCCCCCCCCCCCCCCCTGATCGCCAGCACGGCTCTGTGGTCCAGCCCACCGGCCGATCGTGAGCGGGAGGCCTGGGCGCGAGCACTGCGCGGCTCGTCCGCCTATGGGACGCCCCATCCACCACACCCGCGAATCTGTCACGGACCAAGGTCGGCCGCGCTGCGCCGCCCGCCGAGATAGGGAGGCCGCCGGCCGCCGTGGACACTCGTTAATATCCCGCCTGACCGGTGGGCAGCTGGAACGGGCAGCCGCCCGGGCTGGACAGGCGCACCGCCGGCGCTCGCCGCCGCCCACCGCGGGCCCACGCGCCGCCGCGGCGCGGAGCTCGGCTGAGCCGGCCGGCCGGACGCGCGCCGCCGTCTGCCGGTGCGGAGCGTGCGCCGCCCGTGCACGCGCCGGGAGAAAGCGGCCGGCACCTGCACGACTCGGCGCAACAGCAGGAGGTCGGGCCGCGCACGAGGGGGATGCGAGGCGCCCCGCCCCTCTCGCGCCAAAACGTCCCGCTCAGAGAAGTCCCAGTCATTCCAGTTGCGTTTGATCTCGGCCCCGAGCCAGAGCCGGCCGGCGGCCGTTGGGGTCTGCACGCGGTCCGCCCCGGCCGTTGGGACCTGCTCGCGGCCCGTGCGGCCGCGGTAGCCGGCCGGCGCTGCCTGGCGGCGAGCCTTGAACTTGTCCGCGCCGCCGCCGCCGCCTGGCACAGCGGGGGCGCGCGCCGACGTCCGGGTGGCGGGAACGCGGCGCGCGCGGGTCTGGCGCGCCAACGTGCGTTTCAAGCTCATTGGCTGGCAGCTGGGGTATTCTGAGAACTGGCTCTGGGATCGGAGAGGACGTGGGCTGTTCGAAAAAAGTTGCACGTTACTAGAAGAAGCTTAACTGACAATGAGCACGATTTAGTCACGGCATTCTAGGCGAAAAACATACTGCCGGGGCTGAACGGCTGTCGGCTGGGATATGTCCGCTTCTAGTAACCACAACCACACAACACTGTTCTTACAGTACCTGAACAAGGCCGGCTTGACAGACGTGGGAGGTTGGAAGGTATTCCTCCCCGCTTCCAAGCGCGGCGCACCTCCCACCCTGTAATTCATTTAATGCCGAGGGCCTCCAGATGCAAGGCAAGCACGGCACTGTAATGTCGACAACGGCGTATGCCGTTCATCTCCTTTCACAAGTGCCAGGGTCTTTGTCCTACTCACACTGGACCGACGTGCATCCTTTGTTCAGCGCTTCAACACGAAGCGGACCATCAGTGGACGCACGATGCGAGATGAATGGCCGGAGCCCACAAGCTCGTTCAGTGCAGCCCGCACTATCCCCACCTCACGGCGGTTGACGTGATGGCGCTGCACAACCAGCGCCGGCTTCAGTAAAGCCGACCCCAGAGCTGAACCAACTCGCGAGCGCAGGGTTGTGAATGGGTTGCCCGATGGGTTGCCAGGGCGCGCAGGGCTGCCCGCTGTGAAGACCTCGCGCGGCACGCTATCTTAGACGGATTGCGCGGTTTTCCTTCATGGAGTGAAATGCGGTCTTATGCGTTTATTTCGGCTGCAAATGCGTCAGAGCACGTAAAATCTACGTCACTCCTAACAAAATCTGTTATCTTGATAGGTATTTATCTCAAAACATAGGCAGTTGACAAACCTTGTTCTTGACTTGACTGGAATCGTTCGTTGGCGCACGCCAAGGAGGAATATAACTTCACGCCAGTGCTATAATTCATATTCATGTTTCATGCGGACATGGCTTTGCTATGGATGAATCCGAAGCATTTACGCCATTATTGACCTATCCACCTAAACCCACGCATGCTGTAAGGAAACTTACGCTCCATGTAAGGTGTGTTTGCGAAGGAACGGACGAAAAACCAAACCCGTAATACCTGCTGATCGGCGTGAAGGCTCGCGTTTGACTCCGAAAGGAGGCCGTCAGTCAAATTAGCATTGAGTCAAAGTGGAATCAATTTATTTCTTGATATGTGTTAGAGGAAATACGACGCAAGTCTTGCGTATGAAACAATGATCGGTTACCCGAACAAAATACGCATGGAGGAAATGTGTGATCGTCTCATTCTGATAGCTCTTGTATACACAGCAGCGTTAGGCATATGTTATCTTCCTAACGAGAATGCGTCTTACAAGATTTGTATGTAACTCATGAAACAATTGGTCTTATAAACAAATGACAACGGAATTGGATCCGCTGAAACTGAATCCTGAATGGAGCCTACCTCTTTGAGTCGGAATCGGGGTCGACCCAGAATCGTGTTATGCCATTAGGAGCCAGAACCGGAATTAGTAAACTCCCTGGAATTTTGCTATTCCACGACATGCTGAAGTGTCAAGCGCAGCAAGTCTAATTTTGTGTAGTACATGGGTAAATAATGGTAAGAAAATCTTCCTAGTGGCAAATCGTCACGGATCAGGTGATTCCCCTACGTAATACGACCAACTGGACACCGCACGACAGGTGGACCCACAAGCTGGTGCAAGGCTTGTTCCTGGGCGCTAAGGACCTGTTCTAGAGCGCAGCAATCGAGTTGGTTTCATGATGAAGTATCCATTCAAAAATTATTTTAGGGTAGACCAAATTCTACTTTAATTTAGAAATGCATACTTAGGTGGATGTTTGGCGGGTGAAGCATGCGCAAACGCTAACCTGCATTGAGGGTTGGGAAAATATCGGTTTAAGGGGAGAAGTCAACGTCGAAGGCTAGCGCAGGGAATGCCATGTTTTTGCTATGAGTGCAAATACTCCAGTTACAGTGCCGGGCCTCGCGCGAGCGATTTGGCCGAGTACACGGTTACAAGAAAGTGGACTTTTCTGTGGAGCGTCACCAAGTATCTCGTATTCCCTGCCCCCCTCCCCCCCCGCCCATTTTAGTGTTCTTGTACCTCGGCACAATTTCTTTTGCAACATCGACCCTTGCCACTCCGACACACCAGCGATGTGCAAGAATTGCACAGATTGCATCGACATCCCATCAGGGCGAGGTTTGACTTAGCCTTAAATTGACAATGAGTTCTTTTGGGAAAAAAGTTATGTTTTTCAAACATTGGCTGCCGATCTCGGTATCTGAGTACCCGCCGAGCCCAAATACTCATTCAAACGCATGAGCGTCCCGCATTCTAATGTCCAGCTCTAACCCGGCTCACCAGTGACGAGGCGCCTGAGTCATTGCCGGAAACACCGGCCGAACAATGAGACTCACGCCGCTGGCAGGTGTTGGGGTACCACGCTTGAAACGTTCACTCCTGCTGCCGAGCGAGTACTAATGTGTTGCAGCCCGCCCCAGTAGGTACTGCCGAGCGCAAATTCGTGCTAATACAGTGAGAGCTCCCTCTTGATGCGGGCAGCGTCTAACGCTGAAACGGACGCAGGCAACATCACTGCACAGGGTTTAATTATGGGAAATGGTAAATCGCTTATTTCGACGGTATCGAAGCCCTCAAAAGATAGCTCTGACTTGTACCTTTTGAAATTTTGAGTCACGTGCCAGATTGTTCTTCTGATGGAGGTCATATTCCATAGGCAAGGCTGGACCACAAAAAAGAGCAGAGTGCAAAGCACGTAGCTGTGGCTGGCATCGTAACAACACGGGATGCCACAAACTCACCGAAAGACATCTGGGCAACCTTCAAGATTTGTTGCAATTCAGAAGGCTTTTTGCCGTTCAAAAGCAGTGGCCGGTTCCTGGAGCCGCGCTACAATGACAAGCTCGCTCTGATTCCCATTCCCAGCAGATGCTGCAATTTGATATCCCAATCGCCTACCCATCCCAGGAGGCTGTGGGGAGGCAGATCACCGGCGCTGATCCCATCGCGCTGGCGCTTGCAGCTGGTGCTCGATGCCTCTTTCCATTGCAATCGTTGCTCGCCAGTGGCGTCAGCTCAAGTGACCTGCCTGCCTTAGGATTACCTCAAGGCTGTGGCTCTTTGCGGAAAAACCGAACTCATTGTGCTGGGATTGCACCAATTACATACATCGTCGGCTACATTAACGTGAACATGCCACCGGAATTTGCGCCGGTCATCTAACCCCAAAGGTTATGTCATTCACCTTGAACGAAGACATTACTCCAGGCTATCGACCCACCCATCTAGGTCATATTACTAACCTCTGACCTAGACATCTCCTTGGACTCCCGACCCTCCCCAGTCAGGTCACGAATCCCCTAACCCAGACCTCAACCTGGGCCCGGACCGGGCCCAGACCACATGACCGACCTCCGACGTGGGTCACCCCAAACGCCGGCCTGCGCCGCGCCACCCTCCTACACAGCCCACACAGACCTCCGACGGCGCTGGCCCGCGCCTCCGGCCGCACGCCCCGCGCCGTCGCCGGCTGCGCCGCTCACCTGGGGTGCAGGTCTTGCTCTGGGCGTCGAGTATGGCGCCCGGCGGGCACGTGCAGACGGGCCGGTGGCTGCGCACTTGGCACGCGCCGCCCTTCAGCAGGCCGCTGCAGTGGTCCAGGCTGCTGCACGGGTCCGAGCACAAGCCGCCCAGGCAGAACCGGTTGGACGCGCAGTCGCCATCCTTCTCGCACTTCTGCTGTTCTGCGGACGGCGGGGGGAGAGGGGCGTCAGACAGCGGCTGGGGCTGGCTGGGTCCGGTATGGAGTCCGGGGCGAGCTGGGGGTAACAGGCGGAGTTTGGGTTCAAAATGGGACGTTATGCCTAACATGGCTTACAAGTAGAAAAAGGTTGCCAAGCAACACGTACTCTCGTAAGTGTGCCACAACCTTGCTTTACGCCATATACGAAGGCTTGTGTTCGATTCTGCTTAATGGAAGCGATTTCATTTCAGACGCACAGCAGAGTGAGACGTTCCGGCTATCATCGATTCCGATTCAGACATGAGGCGATGCGGCTCGTTTTCAGGATTAACTGGGATGGGGCTGATTCCAACAAACAGCGTTTAGGAGTTGAGCCTGCCTACGGCGTATATCTGATTATAAGAGTGCCGTTTAAGATACCTAGCGTGTCATTTGTCGTACGTAAAGCGGCTATCAGAATGTTGTTGCTCGTGTTTTAACTTGAAGTGATGCATCAGCGATTGAAAAATGATTGTGATTGATTGATTGATTGATTGTGGTTGACCAAATTCCGACTCAGAGCAACGCCTGTCTTGAAAGACATCGATTCTACTTTGGCCCATCACAAATTTGGATGATTCCGGAGTCGACTCTGACTTCGCCCGTCGTGAAGCATAACACTTCGCATACGCGATATATGCTGTTTGTTATAGCGTCCATTTAACGCGGAAAATGAGCGCGAGGACATGTTCGTCAACGGCACTCCACCCTGCTAAGCAGCAGAGCAGCCCACTCCACTAACGAGGGCAACCAGTCGTCTGTTAAATATATCTTAGCAGGGTGCAAACAGCATTCTCATGAAGGCTGCAAACAACAAGAAGAGGCCGTTGCACCGTACTTGATCTGAGATGATCAGTAAAATAGTATAGGTCGCTCGAACCACACCGGCACATCAGCTGGGCGAGGTCTCGACGAGTCACAGCCGCGGCTGAAACCACAATCTTTTCAATGAGGAAAGAGGCAAGCGAAAATAATGACCCTGAAGTAGGCCATCGTTAAAAGTCTGTGCCGTCAGCTGGATAAATATGCGTGGTGACGTGTGCCTCAGCACACCTTAGCCCTACTGGCTGCGCACCTGCAGCTTTCTTCCGCCGGCATCGGCAAATGCCTCTTGCTCACTGCCATTTCGACCAACATCAGCCCCTCCCCAAACACACTCTCCCCGAACACCCCTCCCAAACACACTCTCCCCGAACACCCCTCCCCAAACACACTCTCCCCGAACACCCCTCCCCAAACACCCATTTCTCCCACATATTTCAACAGCCCCATCCCGACGCGTGCCAGGTCGCTGCCGTGCCTCTCGCCACACTGCCAGCGCCACCAGCACGCGAGGCGGGCTGGAGCGCGCTCTTCCGGCCGCCTCCCGCAGCCCCGTTCCCACCGTGAGCGGGCGCAGTACGCGGCCAAACGGCCGTCCGGCAGCGCGCGGTGGTGAGCGCGGGTCACGGGTCACGCCGCCCGCGGCGGTACACGGCACGGGTGCTCCGCGGTCATCACGGCACGGGAGCTGAGGTCATCGGGGAAGATGGGGTGGGGTCACCAGCGTTTGACCTGGTTGAGAGGTCGCGAGGTATCAAGTCATGTGGAGTGTGACGGGAGGTGACGTTCGTTTGGTCGAGTTTTGACAGCTGGGGAGGTTTGTGCTCGCAGGCTACGGAGCTTGCTGGTGTCAGACGGTGCATGCTCCGCCGCGTCATGGGGACCAGGAGCTCAAGTCATCGGGACGCGGGGTGCGGGGTGACACACCCTTGACGAGATCATCAGATCCGGGAGCCCGCGGGTCACGAGCCTGTGCATCGTGAGGTCACCGGGACTCGCCAGGTCACAAGGTGAAACCGAATACCGGTGTCGGACACAGACGAACATCCTTCCTGCCCACACAGACACGCGTGGCCCAGTGCGAGCCGGAGAGGGGGGGGGGGAGGGGGGCGCCATGATGCGGCTAAGACTGCCAGGAGCAGCGGAGCGGCCGGCGACGTTTACGCCAGCCGTGACCGGCGTGACCCCGGACATCGGGGCCAGCGCGGTCGGTCGTGCTGCTGCGGCATCCCGCGCACCGCGGGAGCCGTCAGACGCAAGCGATCGGTTCTCAGATCGTGCGCGGGGAACCGCGTGTCAAGGCCAGCACAGACGGAAGCGCATGCTCTAGAGACATAGCAAAACAACTGCGGCGTTCGTGAGGCTTTCTAATTACTGACACCCCCTGTGGGAAGGCTGTTTCCAGAGCAATTATACGGCGGCGTTTAACACCGGCGGGCGGTTGCACGCCCTTTGAAAAACACTTGACGGTGACCATCGTTGTATCGTGTGGCTGATTGGCACGTCGGCACTGGCTGGCTTCGCCAAGGCAGCTGATCAGCAAGACAGCTCGCACGCCGCGTCTGAAGGCTGGTACACTGAACACCTGACAGTGCTACGGTAAACAATTTTGTCTACATGGAAACACAGCTGTAGCCAGAAATCCCGACAAGAGAGAAAATCACGCTGAATATAACTGCGGTCAATGGGTATTTGTGCCTTAAAATGATTGCACAGGCGACATTAGAATTGCAAGGCCATGGTTTCGTCGTTCTCGACAACAGCTTCGTGGCACGTTTACCATATTGTCCAGAGACCTCTCGAGTGGAATATTTTTCCGGCGAATAGGCGAAAATTTCACCACTTGCCGCCTCGCCATGTCCTTACATAACACGTTAAAAACATCAATGCCTACTTTTTGGCGAGCAAGAAGGGGGACAGCTATCTCACTGTTGATCCAGGTGGAGCACGCAGAAAGGAATACAGTTTTATATGTTGTTCTGGTAGGGGTCACAGAGACAGAAAGCTAGTCAAATTTTATTAAAGGGAGTGTTCCACATTTATGTGGGGTTTTGAACTGATATAGCCATCGTGAAGACCTTTCAGCCCTGTTCACAATCCCGCGCTTCTTGAAACCTGAGTCCCTCTAAGTTTCTGAGCTATACGCCCGTGAAGATTGGGAAAGGTGTATAAGGGAAAGTATTTCAAAGACACCTTAACATTAATGTCATAATAACGTCATTGAAATCCTACTATTCCATAAGCCATGCGGCAGTCAACGTCAAGAAAAATATAATTGTCGAGACGTTCATTTCTGGCGTTCGTAGGCGAGATTTCCAGGTACAACGGCGGTCAATTGGCTCTCATCATCTCATCTCACCACCAATATTGTGCAAGGCGCAATAACGTAATCAAATCATGCCGCATCGAACAGCATATTCACTAAACAGAGAATTGTGCTGTTTAGAACAGTATTTTCCACTTAAAAAGCACACCAATAGTCAGAAGTGGGCTTATTTCATAATATCTGAGCTGGCATCAATAGCTTCAGATGTGAGACGTTCCCCTTAAGGTCCGGTTTACGTCTGCCGAGGTGGGAAACACCATTTTAATTGCATCAATTGCACCCCAAAGCTGGCTGTGTCGGCTCCACCTCACAGCACCTCAAACACCAAACTAAATGCGTTAATTTGATGCGGAATGACGTTAGATGCGGATGTGCTGCCGAGCTCAACACCAGGTGTGAATGGGGCATGTCTCCGAATTACTCATTTCAATAGCAGCCGCGTTAAACTCGTCCTGAATGTGAACGTGAGCGTTTGTCCTAAATGTCTGCTGCGAAAATGGTCGTGATATTTGTTCAATCTCTCAAGCAGGCACATGCAAAATGTCTCATAGGGCTTGCTCCATTCAAACCTGGAAAATACAGCGTCGTAGTAAGTATATCTGTGGGCGTTGGACCCCACGCTACAACGTACATACTTGAAAGAATGGTCCGCTCAAAACAAGCTGGCTTATGCGTGGCACAGGTGCCAGGCTTTAAAACAAGTCCAGCTGTGTCCCCTGGTGAGCGGACAGCCGCCTGGCCTCAACTGGCAAGCCCATTCTGCTAGCTTCAGTCTCATAGCAATGCGCTGACCTTAACAACCACACAGATAAGCCAACAGCTGCGCGGTCCTCGGTCCGAGCGGGCACCCCTTCCTGGCGCCGCCCCGCGCGCCATGCCGGCACCGGCTCTGCGCCGTCCTCGGTCCGAGCCGGCACCCCTTCCTGGCGCCTCCCCGCGCGCCATTTCGGCACCGACTCTGCGCCGTCCTCGGTCCGAGCGGGCACCCCTTCCTGGCGCCGCCCCCGCACACCATGCCGGGACCGACTCCACGGCCTCCGCCGCACAGGGCGGCCCGTTTGCATACGTGCACGGCTATCAGTGTTCGCCGGCGCTGGCGGTCACCCTCAGCCTTGGAGCCGCCCCGAGGAGAAGCGGCGCGTCTACCCCACACCTGGTCTGACTGCCCCCGCGGTGGTGGGGTGCGGGGGGGGGGGGGGAGAGTGGCAGCATTGAGCGACGCTTGGCAGCAGGCTGGGCGCCCGTGTATGATGAGTGCCTGCAGCGTAGGGGCACGGAACTTGTCGTGGCGAGTTACGGGGTCCGTGCAGCTGCTTTGTTGTGGATGCCAAAGGAGGTCATGGTAATGTGCGACAGTATATGGTTCTGATGCATCATGCATGTATGCTTGGAGGAAGCTCATGATGATAGCGGATCTAAATCGAAAACATTTCTTTAAATTGACGAGGTAAGCATTCGCCAAGCAGTACTTTGAAATTCTCGCATCCCAACGTTTTTTAAAGACCTCTACCAAAAACGAAACATTTCAGGGACGAACTGCAGCTAATGCATCTATCTCCAAGAGCAACAATGGCATCTCCAATGCGGCCGCCAGGTACGGCAGCTTAGCCCACTTTCCTCGGGCAGGCTCATCAAGAATACGCCAGTCATCCGTGCGACAAAAGGCCTACGTATCTCTGAATAAAAACAACACAGCCAGACTCGACCAGAACATGCTGAAAGACAACGCGCCCGCGAGGCCCATCTCGGAGCACGCTCCACCTTCCACTTCGCAAGCCCTTCAATCTCGCTAGCTTCCTCGGCACACATCGTTC